TATATATATATATATATATATATAACCTTAATAATCCATAGTCAGTAATAAATTTATTTCGATGAATATAAGCATATTCACTCTCATATTCATATTCACTCTCATACGGACAAAAATCCTCTTTGGAATAATCGTAACCTATTACAATTTGGTATTAACTATATATAATTATATACATGCATTTGCACACACACACATGCACACACACACATGCACACACATACACTCATGCATATATAGTAAACACACATACACACTCACGTATATATAGTAAACACACACACACACATACGCGCGCGCACACACACTCACACACATATATATATATATATATATATATATATATATATATTATAATTATACAAGTAAGTACGCACAGACTGTTTCTCTTTGTGTCGTGTCCCTTGGGGATGCTATCGATCATGAGTTTCCACAGCGTTCTGTCTTTTATTGCTCGCAGCAATAAATATTTAGACTTATTATTATTATTATTATTTCCTTTGATTTCTGTTGAATACACATTTCCTTTGGGGTCCCAACCAGAGACCTTATTGTCAGAAATGACTTCATGATATTTTCCACTGATCATTTAAAAAAAACCCCAAAAAACATGGAATTATTGATGCTCTCATTTACCACATTTTTTAGAGTTTCACTTCAAGATTCTTGTATTTTGATAGTTTTTTTTTTTAATAACTTCCAAGATACATTACAATCTGCAGCGACTGCCATGTCAATAAGAAAGTACATTCCGTTTTTGTAGTTTCCAATCATGATATCTGGGCGATTAGCTTTGATTGTTCTATCTCTGTATATTGTAAAGTCCCATAAAATTGTTACAGGTCTTATGTTGCTAACTGGGTCTGGGTAACGTTCATACCAGCTACTTGCAGTTTGCTTCCCGTAAAAGATAACAAGATAACCCCCACTCAGTCATGCCGAGTTCTATATTCAATGGATGCTAACACTGTGAAACCTGATATAAGTTGTTCAATTGTTTCTGGATATTATTCACAGAATTTGAATTTCTGGCTTGCACAAATGTTCAGTGCTTGATAATTTCTAGTTAACAAGCATTGGTCTCGCGAAGCAAGAATAAAACCTTCGGTTTTAGCTTTTAATCCGACACTATGTAGCCACTGATGGGTACGGGGTTTGTCTATATCAGCTGGTTTTGTACAGGCAGTGAATGGATCATGAATAGGCTTATCTTGCCATCGTTTTTGCATTTGATCCATTCAATTTGCTTTTGTCTTCATTTTTTAGGTTCTTTGCTGCTGTAGTAGTTTTATGATGGATTATTTTTATTTTAGATTTGTTGGCTTCCTTTATTACTGAATACAGTTTTTGATTTCTTTCATGTTCTTTGACACAGATCATCATCCAGTCTTCTGTAGTTTCCAGTTATCTTTGAAGACCGATTCTTGTAGTTTTATAAGACAGTTCTAATTGAACTGATCCTTTGGATCCATCGGATTTGGACAGATAGAGACGATCAACAGTCCAAATGGCAAGTGAAAAAATTTCTCGTTTTAGCATTAATCTGCTTAATATCAGCCACGGTCCATTTAAGGATGTTAAAACTGTATTTCATCACAGGGACAGCCAAGGTGTTTATGGCTGATACACTGTTTTGGGAATTCAACGCACACGTCAGGAGTATTCACTTCTTACTTTCACTTTCGTTTTGGTATGCTTTATTCCATCTCCTTCGCTGATTCCAAGCATTTATAGGCTTCTTTTCTAGATCTATTTAGAGTGATTCTGTAAGTCTTCCTTTCCTGATTGTGATTTTGGCGCATTTATCTAACTCGCAATCTATACCAATGTCATCACTGAAATATTTTATAGTAATGAGGAGACCCTTTAACTTTGCAAAGGGTTTGAGATCATCCATATAGACTAAGTGATTTTATACTTTCTTTTAAATTTGTATCCATTTTAATTAATGTTTAGTTCACGCAAAATTGCGGTTAAGGACAGACAAAACAGAAGGGGTGACAGGGAGTCTGTTGTTTATGAAGAGGTTTATCATGCAATCGTTTCTACATTTGGTCCATTACAGTCGCTTTAGTTTTCGTTTTTAGGTTATTTGACGTTGCAGTAGGTGTATCATGATTTACTTACACTTCTTCACCCAAGTGAAATTCCATTTTGAACTTGTTGACTTTCCTTTATTACTGAATACAGTTTCTTAATTCTTTCATGTTTTTTGACAAAGACCATCATCCAGTCTTTTGTAGTTTCCAGGTATCTTTGAAGACCGATTCTTGCAATTTTATAAGACAGTTCTAGTTGAACTAATCCTCTGTCTCCTTTGGATCTAGTGACATACAGCAGATGTTGATCTTAGGATGATGCATACGGTGGCAAGTGAGAATCTTAATGTCAGCTATGGTTCAGTTAAAGATGTTAAAACTGTAATGCAGCACAGGGACAACCAAAATGTTTATGGCCGACACTCTGTTTTGGGAATTCAATATGGCATTTAAAACCAGATGCACATGTTTTTAGTATTCATTTCTTACTTTCTTACTTTCTCTTTTTCAGACTTCAGACTGAACAGTATTTAGTAACCCCCCTCCCCAACGAGGGCATCATGTGGCACAAGGCCGGTTTAACGTGGGATTTCCGAGCCCGTGGGCTCGGCCAAAAATATGCCCTTTTAACCCGTATAAATGGGTTCAGTGTCGGTTTACCTCCTTGCAAGAGACTCCACCCTTCGGGGTAGCCTCGTTCGGTTTCCTCCGCGCCCGAAGGCAGAGAGTTCAACTGATCAGCCGATCAGCCGGTCGCCCGACTTCAGACTGAACTCTCTGCTTCCTCTTGAGGCGCAGTATTTATTACGTATGGAATAGTCCATTATGTTATTATGGGTAAGGTCCCATAACATGCTATATAGTATCTACTGTCTTACACTATTGAACTCACATCTCTTTGGGTCCTGTCACTGGATCTAATCAACGCCTTAATCCACAGTGTTATGTGTCCTTAAGGACAATACCTGGTTAAGGCAGTGAAGAATTTGGAGAGGTGAATTAACAGGAGATAACTGACATCCATTAAACATGGCAGGTGGAACTAGAACAGTCTACCCCAGCAAGCAAAAGAAAGGGTTCAGTTCGACATTCCAACCACCTGAAGAAGGCCGGAGCGTACAACAGCCGAAACGTTGTTATAAATATGGCAACAAAGATAAGGAAAATAGTTCGAATAATGTAAATAATGCATTTTGGTTATTTCTAATGTCGTGATTTTATTCTAATGATGTTGTGATGTTGGATTCTATAGCTCATATAAAATATTTAATATTCGTATTAATATTGTATAATAATATCACAAATATGTATAAATTTTTCATGCATTCATTTTTGATGCAGTCGAGCTCTGTGAAACTGTATTTCAAATGATGTCGCTTAAACGATACGCAGGTATTTGTATTAATTTGAAATGTAATCTTCGTAAACATGCCAGAATGTAACCAACAAAATCTTGTCGACCATATTAATAACAGTTCTTCATAATACTGAGACGTTCGAAAGTATTTGAACCAAACAAAACCGTAACTTTCGAAAGTTAATAAAACAATTTTGATTCGAATGTACAATATTTTCGATAGTTTACAGGATAATTTTGATTCGAATGTACAATATTTTTGATAGTTTATAGAACAATTTTGATTCGAATGTACAATATATTCGATATGTTTTAGAACAATTTTGATTCGAATGTACAATATTTTCGATAGTTTATAGAACAATTTTGATTCGAATGTACAATATTTTCGATAGTTTACAGGACAATTTTGATTCGAATGTACAATATATTCGATATTTTTTAGAACAATTTTGATTCGAATGTACAATATTTTCGATAGTTTACAGGACAATTTTGATTCGAATGTACAATATATTCGATAGTTTATAGAACAATTTTGATTCGAATGTACAATATATTCGATATGTTTTAGAACAATTTTGATTCGAATGTACAATATTTTCGATAGTTTATAGAACAATTTTGATTCTGAACGATGTACAATATTTTCGATAGTTTACAGGACAATTTTGATTCGAATGTACAATATATTCGATATTTTTTAGAACAATTTTGATTCGAATGTACATTAATATTTTCGATAGTTTACAGGACAATTTTGATTCGAATGTACAATATATTCGATAGTTTATAGAACAATTTTGATTCGAATGTACAATATTTTCGATAATTTACAGGACAATTTTGATTCGAATGTACAATATTTTCCATAGTTTATAGAACAATTTTGAACAATAAGCAAACAAAAAATGTCCTCAAATGACTCTTCGTCTTTCACAACTAAGGATTCAATTAATTTTACACTCTAACAGAATTTTCCATTTCATATGGAAATCTCATTCTTTGGATAAATGAAAATCTGTAGGCGAAATATCTTTTGAATAAAGTGGATGCCCCATAGAGCATAATCAAGGATGTGTAAATTTTGAACGTTTGAAGTGTAGACATTTCATGATACAGAATTGGCCATCTCGATTGCAGTTTCTTTATTATTATTATTATGTAAAGTCGATTTTGTTACAGTATGATTTGGTTGTAATTGATTGACATCGTTTCAAAAGCAGATAATCAATTAAGTTTTTTTTTTTTTTTTTTTTTTTTGCCGACCATAGCTGATTTTTGGGAATAAAATTGTAGTTTTGTTTTATACTTTCGGTGACTCCTCATCATCATCTAACCACTGTTCTTTTCGTTTACTCTTATCGAATATAAATTTATCAACTTAAGTAAAGACTCGATACAAATCTTGCTCACTTTCAAGTTAAGCAGATAAACACAAAGCACATCACTAAGCGACGATCTCTTTGCTACACAGTCATTTCATCCGGGTTAAATTTATCCACGGTGTTTTTTTTTTATTTCCAATAGCTTTCATATGGCGAGAGTAAAAACATGCAAGTTTTCGAACGACTGATATCGAATTTTGCTTAAGTAACTCGGGCTTACGGTCATCTCACGTTTAAAACACCAACTCTCGTACGATCCTCGAAGTTAAGCAGCGTCGAACCTGGTCAGTATCTAGATGGGCGACCGCTTGGGAATACTAGGTTCTGTAAGCTTCGATGTACGGATGGTGGCATGGATACCCATTTGAATTTGAAATCAAAGAGCTGAGGTTCTAATCCATTCAGGTTCGTTCTATTCACTTAAGCGCAAATACCCTTGGGAATTGTATGAATGCTTCTCCCCCAACTATGGGTTATTTAGTAGGACTTGCGTCAGTAAAAAATATTATTATCTTAAAAAATATCTTACATTATAAAATATTTTCTGGCTTTAAATAAACTGCCAATGGTCAATAAGCCGTAAAAAAATAAATCAATCACATTAAAAATGCATTGAATTGATAATTATTCTTTTTTTATAATTGAATTAAAATTTCCTCTTGGTCCAGTTTCAAGTTTCATCTGATGTACAATCTTTTTGCAAGCGTTTTTATATTGTTCTGACATTAACAATATGACGACTAAATGCTAAGCTGATATTACGTTAAGCAGTGACACCCCGGCCTAATTTAAACGTATAATATGAGCAGTTGATATTGTTTAATTGGTATGTTCTGGACGCAACGAATAATGTCTTTCTCATGAAAGGACTGAAAAGAAAATAGTAATAAGATTAGTAACAAATAAGGTCTTAAAAATACTTATAGCAATACATTTTTGGCAATTTTTCTGAAAAGTTAGCAAACAAAAAATACATGTTAAATGGGTCAAGATATCCGAGTTCTGATGAAAAAGTATCGGCCTGGTGCTCTAAAACGAAAACTGCAACACATATCAATTCAACATTCCTTCGAAGTAGACCCCTTCTGAAGCCACCCATTTTATCTGGCGTCGTTTCCATTGATATAAGCATTCCTGGAACTCCTTTTTTTGGATAGCGAGCAGCTGCCTCATCGCATTCTTTTGGATTGCATCGACGTCTTGAAATCATCCATGATATACCTACGAGCGACTGATCCGAAAGTAGAGAGGTCGAGGACGTCGTGCTGTATCCAAGTCTCGGGTTTGTTCAAACAATTGTACGTAGCTCGAGGAGTCTATTTCTTGCAGCGGCTCGAAATAGGGGACCAGTTCCTTTCTTCGTGGTGACATGCAAGGTGGATTGGTTTTTGAAGTTAGCCTTTGCCTAAAAGACTCAGGACATTTTGAATTCAGACATTTTGTATTCTTCAAGACTGGATGCCAACCAAGGCTAGATGGTCCAATCTGTCCTGCTATTTGCTCATAGCTGGGGGGAGAAAAATGGATTCATACCTTTCTCAAAGATATTAGCGCGTAAGTTAATGAAATGAACTCGACTGGAATTCGAACTTGGCGCTCTGATTCCTATCCATTCTTCTACTACTACTAATAAAGAGTTGATAAGCCATAAAAACGAATCATTCAAGATTAGTTTGGTTTGTTTTACGGCATATCAACCTCTATGGGTTATATAATGTCGACAAGTATTTTATTGATGGTTATATTTTTTTTTTCAAAATTCATAAATTTTTATGTTTTTTCAAGAAAGTATTGCTGGTAAAAAAAATTTCCAAAGAAGTATTGCTGGTATTAAAACCTATTTTGATACTTTCATAATGTTTTGACTCCTTTCGGGGGTAGGGTTTTGACTCCTTTAAATATTTACCCATAGCTGGGACCCTGACAGATGCTACCACTCCGGCTCAGGTTGAACCTGGGAAGAGCATCAATTAAGAGGTTGTTCCACGCTCCTCAAAACCTTCTGATCAAAGGCCTTGATGTCGGATATAATTTATCGTCTGACCCAGAACGCGGATGCAGTTTATCGTCATACCCAGGACGGAATCACACAAGAAAAAAAACAACAGTAGAATAACGAGAAATAGGAAAAAAACATCTACTCAGAAAATGATAATAAATGACAAATCGTCCTCTAAAGATAATCGAATACGTCTTCTATGTGGTGTATCCCTTCAGGTCTTAGGCGATCGTGGCTTTCCGCAATTTTCTGACCTTTTTAGTGCTTAGTATCTTGCTTGGTATCGCTTTTAATTTCTGTTCTGCCAGTCGTTTAATCGATTATGCGTTGCCATGTCCTTCTTGCCTTCAATATGTGCTGTGAGTATCAAATTTTCTTAACCCCTTTCCTCATTATGTGCCATATAAATTTCAATGTCTTTTTTATGCTAATTATATGTGTAATTGTTTTTATGCTATTTGTAAGTGTATTTTTGTTTCCATTCTCTCTAAAACTTCGTTATCGCTCACATGTTCAGTTCATGGTATTCTCAGCATCCTTTTGTAGAAACAAATTTCTGATGCCACAAGTCTCTTCATCATGTGTGAGAAAATTGTTCAGCATTCCCTGCTATATAGGGCAGACATTATATAACAATTTTGTACTATTTTCTTTATAACCTAATGTCGCTGTTTTTTTAGTAATTTGGTGAATTTTTGGCAGACAACATTCGCTTTTCCTAATGCGTCATTGCATTTTCCATTCTCTGTTAGAACACGTTGATATCCCGACAAGACAACAGGAAGTGAATTGTGTTTTTTTTTGTTGTTTTTTTTGTTTTTTTTTTTTCATTTTTTTCTGATTGCTGTGGGATCTTGCCGTTTGACAGCGATCATTATTTCCAAATTTTAGATTGACCGATAGCGAAGGATTAGTGGTTTATTACGGCTGGGCTGGCGTTAGTCATGAGGTTGATCGAAAACTGGGTCAGGGTAGGAGAAACAAAGTGGTTAATTCTCAGGCCAAATAGAAGGATATCCGCTCAACTAGACGCGATCAAATGTAAGAATAACAACAAATGCTGCCGTTCAAGTTGAGTACGCCCTGTAACTGATCCTTTCTAACGAATACGTCTTTAACCTTATTCTCATTTCTCTCTCTTTCTCACTCCCCTCCCCTGAAACACACATTTTCTTTTTCTACTTTTTTTTTTCTTCCGGTCGTTTTTCTTTCTTGCATTTTATCTTATTTTTCGCTCACACCACAGTATTGATATATAGGGTACTATGAGTAAATTGTCACCATTTTGTATTTTATAAATTTTGCGCATACACGTTGTTTGTTTTTGATTTTATCGACTGCACAGTATAGTAGGGTCAGTTGGGCACCTTCTGTGAGAAAAAGAGCACGATGATGCAATTCACTCCGCCAGAAATTTGGAAAAGGTCTGAAGTACTGCTTGGCATTCGCACCGGAAGCTCCAATACGAAACATTTCAGAGTGTTTGGGTGTCAATCCGAGGACAGTGCAGAGGACTCGGAAAGAGTCGTATTAGTGATTATGAAGGTACGGCAGCTTGAACTAGAACTTTGAAAGTTCTTGAATTTAGCAGTAAGTACTGTCAAGCATCCGTTCAGTATAATGTTCTGGGGATGCTTTTCTTTTCATGGAACTGGTTTCTCAAAACCTATTGAAAAGACCCTCAGGAGCGAGCAGTACATGAGAATTTTAGAGTCTTGTCTGCTCTCTTCTGCTGAAAGGGTGCAAATCGACCCCACCAAGCTCATTTTTATACAGGATAATGTCACAGATCAAAATTGAT